ATAAAGACTGGAATATGGTCGTTCACCTCAAGCCACGGGATCTTTACGATATGGGTGATGGTGACATTATTTACGACAGTGAACCCTTCCAACCCTCGAATTTTGAAGACTTCTTTCCTCAAGGAGATGATAATTTGCCACTTATCAGGTACACGTCTTTTCTTAAATTATTTAAATAATTAACTACTAATTACTAATTTTTTCCAAATACAACATAAATTTAACAAATTTTTTTAAAATGTGTCCTTTCAGGCCGGATGATGATGGAGAGTAGCAGCATCCAAAATAAATTATTTAACAAATTTTTCATCCATAAATACATATGTATAAATTAAAATTCGTTCAGTTTTCTTAAAAATAAAACAATTTTCATTTGTAGCGGTTAATAACTGCTACAAATTTTTCCACGAAATTGTAATTTGTAACGGTTATTAACCGCTACAAATGTATTTTCTAATTGTAATTTGTAGCGGTTAATAACCGCTACAAATGTATTTTCACGAAATAGTAATTTGTAGCGGTTATTAACCGCTACAAAATACATATTTGTAAATTAAAATTCGTTCAGATTTTAAAAATAAAAAATACTAAATTTCTAGCGGTTAATAACCGCTACATATATAACCGCTACGAATTACTAGCGCTTACATATACGCTAGAAAATGAATAACAGCTACAAAATGCAATAAAACGCTACAAAAACACCGCTACAAATGTGTCGCTGATCTCTATAAATACCATATCTTCTCTACATTCATTTACTCCATCTCTTTTCCTTCCTCTCCTATTCTTCTTCATAATTCTCTCTTTTTTTCTTACTATCTCATATTGTGGTTTTTTTCTCTTTACTCTATGGTAAGTGAATTTTATTTTATAATTCATTGTATCTTTTATTTGTTTTTATTTAAAATTTACTAACATATTTATTTCTCCTTTCCTTTCAGATTTTTCTTCTCCACATTTGTCATGCCCTCCTCAACTGATTCAAATACTCATCAACCTAATACTATAGGTTTAATATTTCAAAATATATCATCTTCAATTCAACTATCTTATTAAATATTCAATTAAATTATCTTATTAAATTAAATTCACTTCTTTTGACACATTCATAATTTAATTACATATTTTTTATTACAAAATTTGAATATATAAAATGTAACATATAACTAATTATACAAATTAACAAAAATTCTTCAAAATAATTTATTTAATGGTTTTTAAAATTATAATATGAAAAACCATAAATTTTTTTTTCTGGCACGGTAAACATTTCTAGCGGTTCAAAACCGCTAGAAATATTTCGCCAAATTTAAATTTTGCGCCAAAATTTCTAGCGGTTCAAAACCGCTAGAAAAGTTTTTCCCGCCATTCCTAAAATTCAATTGGCGGGAAAATTTAATTTCCCAAACATTTCTAGCGGTTCTATAACCGCTAGTAATTTTCGCGCGCTACTGAAATTATTTAATTCCCGGCAAAATGGATTTCGTTTAGCAGGTTTCTAGCGGTTATGAAACCGCTAGAAATGTTTTCCGGGAAAAATTTCTAGCGGTTTTGAAACCGCTAGGAATGTGTCTCCTTCAGATATTTTCTAGCGGTTAGGAACCGCTAGAAATTTTCTGTCGTTTTGACCATGATGTGTAGCGGTTGCGATAACCGCTAGAAATTTTTTCTTGCATCTGTTTTTCTAGCGGTTTCCTTAACTGCTACAAATTTTATTTGTTGCGGTTAAAACCGCTAGAAATGTAACACTCTAACCGCTAGAATTAACATATTTTTTTGTAGTGTGACCATCTGTCCGTCTTATCCCCTACCTCTAAACACTCCTGCATCAATTCCACACACTTCCAATCGCATCCATCCAAGCTCCTACTTCTTACTCTTCTATACAGTTCCAAACAGTCCGTCTCAATTATCACCTCTCGATCACAAAATATATCTTTCATTTTCAAAGCTTCAAGTAAGGCCCTACATTCATTCAGACATAAAAGCAGACCTTGCATCAATAATCATACCAAAGCTGCCCAAGTATCTGCCATTACTGTCTCTTCCTATCACCCCAATACCAGCAATCATGTCTTTACTACAGAAGGCCCCGTCTATGTTAATTTTCACCACCCCTTCTGCTGGTCTCTCCCAAGCCAAAGATCTCTCCACCACTGCAACTGGCATCTTCCTTCTCTCCCTCTTCTTGAAACAGCCCCAATACTCATTAACCAATCTGATAGCCTGAGATAAGCAGCTCCCAGCATCTACTTCTTTTCCTTCAAACACACTACAGCATCTGGCCTTCCAAACCCCCCAACACAAGGCAGCGAAAAATGATATATTATAGTCATCAATCTCATTCTTCTTTGACAACCAGCTTTCCAGCCACCTATCCAATCTTCCCATATTCTTCTCATCAAATCTCAAAGCTAGAGGGGAACCGAACCAGCATAACTGAGCCTAGGGACACAAAAAAAGTGCATGTTCGACCGTCTCCACATACACTTTGCAAATGCTACATATAGGATCTCTTGCACATTTTCTCTTAAAGAGAGCTTCTTTTGTCGCCAAAGCATTGCTAACTGCTCTCCACATGAACTGATTGACTTTTGGAGGCACCTTCACTTTCCAAATACTGTTCCAAACCTTCTTAGACATAGTATAGGAGCTACTGGGGGCTTCCCTTTCCTCCTTTGCTTCCTGAACTTCCTGAAGCTTGGCAATTTTGTAACCTCTCTTGACCGAATATATTCCATCTCTACTCCCCAACCAAGTATACTAATCTTCCCCCTCAACCACTGGAATTTTCACCTTTAAAATAGCTACTCGGTCTTCCTCATCCAATAAGTCTTCAAACCCATCAAAGTTCCAATTCCTATTGGAAATAATGTCTTTTACCTTCAGTTTTTTCATTTCCTTAGTCAGATTTCTTTGCTTAAGACAGAAACCTTCCTCCTCGATCAACCATTTTCCTTCAAACAGACTTATCTTATCTCCTTTATTAACTCTCCAAATTAGATCCCTTTGCAGCAACTCCCTTCCTTCCAGAATGCTCGACCAACCCCAAGAGGCTTTACTACCCTTTTTAGCTTGCAAAAAATCAGCATTTGGAAAATATAAGCCTTTGAGGATCCTGCTCCACATCTCATCAGGATTCTGACAAAGCCGCCATGCAGTCTTTACTAATAAGGCTTTATTCATCTTCATAAAATCTCTAAATCCCATACCACCTTCCCCCTTATCCCTACACATAGTTTTCCAAGACCTCCAGTGAATTCTTCCTTCCCCATTCTTTTGTCCCCACCAAAAGCCAGAAATCATCTGATCAAGCTCTTTACAGGTCTTTTTATGAAAACTAAAGCAAGACATAGGGTAAATTGGTATTGCATTCGCTACTGCTTTGATCATGACCTCCCTTCCAGCAAAAGTCAACAATTTCTGCTTCCATCCTTGTAGCTTAAGGCTCAGTTTGTTCTTCACAAAAGTCAAAGCCTCAGACTTAGACTTACCCCACAAGACAGGAAGGCCAAGATACTTTCCAGGTTTGGCTGTATCCATAATTCCCATAATCTCAAACACCTCCTGCTTCACCTCTTCTACTGTATTCTTTGAGAAGAAGATACATGACTTGTCCAAATTCACTGATTGGCTCGATGCTTTGCAATAGCTATCCTGAATTTCCCTCAAGATCTCACAATTCCTTCTTTTAGCATTGACAAAAAACACCGAGTCATTTGCAAAGAAGCAATGAGATAGTATAGGACATTTGTTAGCCAGCTTGATTCCTTTCAGTTTCCCATTATCAACATAAGCATCAACCAGGAGACAGAACATCAGAAGCAATTATGAAGAGAAAAGGTGAAAGTGGATCCCCCTGGCGTACCCCTCTTTCCATATTCAAATCAGCAATCTTGTGTCCTCCTACTACCAAACTCAATTGAACTGATCTCACACATTCCATAATCCAAGACAACCACCTTTCTCCGAAGCCCATCTCCCTCATAACCGCCTCAATGAAGTCCTATTCAAGCCTATCATAGGCTTTATTCATATCGATCTTTACAGCCATTTCAAACTTCCTTCCCTTTTTTTTATTTTTCAAATACTGGTAAGCCTCATGAGCTACCAGAATATTGTCTTGTATAAGCCTCCCAGCAATAAAAGCTCTTTGATTTCCTGATATAATTCTAGCCAGCAACTGTCTCATTCTGTTCACCAGAATCTTGGAAATGACTTTATAAGCAAAGTTGCGAAGACCAATGGGTTTATACTGTCCCACATTCTCAGCATTATCTACTTTGGGAATTAGTACCACATTAGTCTTGTTAATCGCTGCTAGCTTTGCATTATTATTAAAGAAATCAAAGACCATCTCCCCTACCTCCTTACTGACTTCTGACCAAGCCGACTGATAAAACATGCCAGAGTAACCATCTGGTCCAGGGGCTTTAGATCCCCCAAGTTGGAATACCGCCATTTTAACCTCCTCCATTGTCACAAGTTTCTCAAGCTGCACATTATCTTCTGCAGTTACTTGTTTCTTAACAAATTTCAGAACCTTCTCTAAATCCCTGCATCCCCCCGAGGCAAACAAAGTGCTATAGTACTTGGTAAAAGCACTATTAATCTCTTCCTCCTTCTCCAACCACGTGTTCCACTCTCCTCTCAATTTAATCACTTTGTTTCTTGTACGCCTCTGGATTGTGCTAGAGTGAAAGAAACGTGTATTCTTGTCACCAGCTTCCAGCCACTTTATCCTCGATCTCTGCCACCAATACACCTCCTCCCTATCCCAAGCTTCTTCCATTTTCATTATTATTTCTTCAATTTTTCAATTTCTTCTCAGCAGTCAAAAGTCCACTTCTGCAGATACTCAATTCCTTGTTTAACTTGTCGATGGAAGTCCTTGCATTTGGAAAGGTCTGCTTACCCCATTTCAGTAAAGCATCTTTACAATTTTCTAGTCTGTGTATAAACTCCTCTACTTTATTCCCTTCCATTTCCACCACTTTCTACCATCCTTCCCTTACTACTTTCAAAAAATCTTCATGTTCAATCCAAAATGCTTCAAACCTGAAAGCTTTAGGGACCCTTGAATGCTTATATTCACATTCAACACTAAGCATATGGTGATCAGATCCCACAGGTTCGATATGGATGACTAGTGCATTCTGAAATTTCTCTCTGAATTCCACATTTGCCGTAGCCCTGTCTATTCTTTCTTTCACATGAGCTTCCCCCAATCTTTTATTGTTCCAGGTGTAAGGCGCCCCATTGAAATTCAGGTCAATCAACCCACAATCAGATAGCATTCTCTGAAAATTTAATGTTCTTCTCAGATCAATAGGTCTGCTGCCAAACTTTTCAAAACAAGAAACCATGTCATTAAAGTCTCCCACGCACAGCCAAGATCCTGTTACTCCCCCTGCAATACGTCTCAAGTCTTCCCACACCTTCTCCTTATCTTCATCTCGAGGGGCACCATAAACATACGTAACAAAGTCAGGGACATCTAGCACTGTGGAGTTCATGCTTGTGTGAATTATATTGCGTGAACTATGCCAGGCGTTTATCACAACTTCTTTTTTCCACCATAAGGCCATCCCACCACTTCTACCTACTGGATCCACATACCATTCCTCATCCATCCCACACTTCTTTTTCACATCTTTCATTTTTCTACTCTTCATTCTTGTTTCCATAAGGAAGATAACTGAGGGCTTTCTTCTAATATTTTCTTCCCTTAGTTTTTTGACTGTCAAGGCTCTCCCAAGACCTTGACAGTTCCATGTGATGAAATTCATTGCCCCTTGGTGGCTGTTAAAGGCTAGCCACCTTCACCTTCAGCAATGACACATGATTCACTTTTGTCCTCCTTCGATGTATCTTGTACTTCTCTTCTTACCATTTCCTCCAACTTTCCCCTACCACCTTTCCCCTTCCTAGCCCTTCTTTTTAACAATCTGACACTCTTTCTGGTTATTGTTTTTTGACTCTCCTGCTTGTTCAACCCAAAATCATCAGCAGAATTGTTGAAAAATAGCCTTCTTCTCTTAATATTCAACTGCTCTACTCCTTCTTCAAGCTCTCTCTTCAGTTTGATCCTTCTTAGACCAATAGCCACTTCAGAAATAGGTGAGAGTTTGTCAAATACTACAATTGCCTTTGACAAATCCTCCTTCAGCTTGGGAGATCCATCAGTCGACATATTTATCACTTCAATTTCCTTCATAATAGAGAGGTTCCTAACATTCTCGCTGTCCACCCCTTCACTCACATCATTCTTCTTTTGTGTCTGTACATCAAAACTTCCTTCCCTTTTAGTTTTCTTTCCTTGTCTAGGATCAACCTTCATCTGTTTATCAATCTTACCACTCCTCAGGTCATCCTGCCCCTTCAAGGTTCTGTTTGCCAGTTTCTTTAACTCTTCTTCCACATTTCTTCCATACTTCTTTTCACTCCATTCTTCCCAGTTATTATTGCTACAAACAATCTCAGCATCAATTCTCTTAGTAGCTTGAACACCTAACCAGCTTCCAAACTCCAAGTCACCACACTCTGGTTCCTCACTTCTTGGACAGTTTCTCTGATCATGTCCCAACAATCCACAACGATAGCAAAAGTTTTGTAATCTCTCATACCTGGCTTTGATCCACACAGGCTCTTTTCCTGGTCTGTTAGTCCACATACCAGACACCAGAGGCTTTTTCGTATCCACCAAGACTCTTGCATGCAAATAGCTACGAATCAACAAATTGCCAAACCTAGGATTCTCCACCAACATCACCTCACCTAATTCAGATCCCAGGGTTATCGCATTCTCTACATCCATTCCTTCCAGCGGTAGATCATGGAATTGAATCCAACATGGACATTTGCTGAAGTCCACTTCCTTGTAAGTCATAAACTGTTTCCATAGTTGAACGTTGAGTAGTATTCCTTGGATCGACCATGGACGCCCTCGCAAGATCCTTAAGTAATCTTCCCTGCAACGGAATTCAAAAATGAATGATCGATCCTCAATTTCAATGATCTCCAAGTCCTCATGCTTCTCCAAGTTCCAGCCCTTCCTGATCATCTTGATCACCGTCGGAGCATTGAAACTCTTTACTGTCATCATTCTTCCAACAAGCACTCCACCATATAATTGCCGATGGTCGCTCTTCTTCCAAACCAGCTCCACTTCCTTTCCTTTCCTTCCCCTCGCACCTCTATCTCCACTACATTGTCCTTCTACTCCTACCTCCATGCCTCACTAATTCCTCTCCGTCACAATGAGTGACAGATCGGACACTCTTTAGTCACCGTCGCAGTAGGCGGCGGATCTCACACAACGAACGACGATAATCGTCGTAACTAACTCTCACAGAGGAGAGAGAAAAAGCTCTCACGCAGGAGAGAAACTCACATGTACGAACAAGGATTCGCCATGTTAAAGCCAGACAAAACAGAATCAAAACCCTGTTAACCCATAATCTCATTTCACTTCATTTATTTAATTTTGATTTCGACATTTAGACTTTAAGATAATTTATGTTTTGTTTTTTAGGACTTGTATTTGTATTATTCAAATTTAAAGCTTGATTTGATTCTTCACACACATATTTCTGATCTTTTGGAATTTATATATGTATAAAAAAATTCTTCGGGCTTTCGGTCCCACCTTTAAACCAGGTAAAATGACTTATTTGGGTCCGACCGATTCATTTTGACAATTCTAAAGACCATCTTATGAAATAGACTTCCACTTTGCATTCATTTCTATGACTACAACACTGACTTGCACGTGCTTTGGCAAATTCAAAATGCTATCTCTGTTTTTAATTATAAGATTTTATTTATAGGCTATAAAAGAGGTTTTATAATTAAAATCAACGGTATTGAAAATATAAATTTAAGTTGTGTTTGTTAAAAAGAATAAGAAAAGGCGGAATTAGAAAGAAAATCTCTAGTGTATTAAAAAAAAGAGGAACATCTCCACTAGTACATGTAGTTGACCATCATATCTTTTTATTATTTTCGATTAATAAAGTACATGCCTACCAAAACATAAGTCTTCTATCAATATAACTAAAGAAATGTGACTCGGCGACTCCGATAAGAAACTATGCTATTCTTTACAGTTGAATTATAATATTATCCCTTTTTTACTGGAAAAGGTATTTATGTCATTTATTCCTTTTCTAAATTTTTATATTGAAATAATTTTTTTAAAAAATAAGGTGCTTAAATACTCTAAAGTTATCCATGAAAAAAAGCATTCAGCACCTGAAATTTTCTTTTCTCTATGTCCTGAAAGTTTATTAAGAAAGAGAATTTTTCAACCATAAAATTTATCTGGGCATGCATGTGTGTTGTTTTAAAAATTAAAAAAAGAATTGATAATTGAGAAAAAAATTCATTGGCTAATTTTTATATTTTGGAGAAATTACCCATAGAGGTCACATATAAGAAAATTAACATACGATTAACTTTATGTTATGTAATATTTTGATTTTAGCAAATATTTATTTGAGGCTAAACTTTTGAGATAATATTACAATTATTGGATAAGAATTGGTGGCTGGGCTTGTATAATATCGGAGCATACATTTATTCTAGAAAGAAGGAAAGTGACGCACAAGAAGAAAGGAAAGATAAAGGGAAAATTGCAAAAAAAAAAAAAGACTTTGAAATTGCAAAAACACAGATAGGGATCCTTGACAAATTCACTTTGAGTTTTGACAATAATAATATGTTATAAAGTTGTCAAAACCCAAAGTGAAGTTGTCAAGACTCTCTATCTGAGTTTTTGTAATTCTAAGGTCTTTTTTTATAATTTCTTCAAAGATAAATGCTTGGGAATCCTAATTAAACAGCACGCAATCAATTAAATAAGATGAGGTTTTTCCTTCATATAATGTGATTTTCGGCAATAAATTTTCCCCCATTGTTTTCTCGTTCTTCCTGTTCTTTCTTCTCTTTCCTCGTTTGCTCCACAAGCGTTTTCTTTGCTTTATTTTTCACTCCACTTTCCTTCACCTTCCTTCTTTTTTTTTTTTCGAACTTGCTTTGTCTTATCCCCATGGAATCAATATCATCAGTATATGAACAGTAACTTTAACTCCAGATACAACAAAGTAATTTTCTCTGGGAAGAAGAGAAATTGCATCACAGGCTCAAGGATAGGAATAATATTCTAGAAATTGTGGTGCAGCTTTATGACCACACTCCAATAAGGCAAGCGTGTGTTTGTCTAAATTTTTTTTTTTTTTTAACATGAAAGTTTAGATGATTTGAGTCCTAAAGACTCATCAGGACCACAACATATCTTCATGTTTAAAGATTGCTTACAGAGCTATTTATAAATTACCCATCAACAAGATCCTTATATCGGCAGTGAGATTTAAACTCACAACCTTATAAGTTATTAACTGACTTCTTATCGGTTAGATTAACTCTGGTTGGCACTCCATTCATATTTTCATAACAATAACCTTCCATACATATTTCCTTTAAAGATTGTACAACACCCACAAGCCACACATACTACTATTATACATGATCATGCGAAGGAAGAAAGAGCAAACATATAATACGCTCCTCACAACATATATGCTCTGGAAACTCTCAACGTAAGTTTAAAGCTTTTATACATTAACAGCGAATCATATGACCATGATATTCTTTTGGGTATGCATCTGCTTAGATAGGACATCTGCAGTTGTAGAAGTGAGTAATAACTTGCAACCAGTATGATCTGACCCATATGGAATTCCTACCTTACTAAGGTCAACTCTTTCATACAGGTCACGAAGCACAAAGAGAATAGTCTGCTCGTTCTTGATCCTACGAATCAATTCTTTAGCTCTTCCAGCGTTGGATTTCTGGTTAAAGGTGAACCCTAGTTGATGAGCAATATCCTCTTGAATCTTCCTCACATCAGGATTTTTGGTTACAGTTGCTGTCACAACCATACCAAACTGTTGATCTCTTTGAACTCTTCTGTAGACTCTTTGAAGCAAAGTGTCTTTCATCTCATCATGTGAGCCATAAACTCCGAGTAAGTGAGTATTAGGATCAGCTAATGCCCCCATAACATTCCCCAGGGCTAGTATACTCCGTTCTGAATAATCAAAATCATTGGAATTGATCGTGCCCGATTGGACAACCTCCTTTTCATGACAGAATGATTCTTGGAACAACTTGAAAAGAGTACAAAGATCATTCAAAACATCAGTACCATCGGAATTGGATATCATTGCTTCTTGTTCTGCGTACCCAGCTTCGTTATGGTTCTCGTCCTGCGATTGAGGCTTGTATGCCTTGGATTTGATAGAAGTGAGACAACGACGAAAAAGACGAAGCGAAACTGTGACAAGGCCAATAATGCCGGCAATAATTGCTATAGCAGACAGCAACAGCATTAATCCTGTAATGATCATGAAAAACATAATACCCCTTTCATAACAGTGTCATTGTATTCCTGCAACAACTCCGAAAGAGAATAAAGATCATCAAAAACATCAATACCATCGAAATCGGACATGATCGTTTCTTTTGCTGTGCATCCAGCTTTGTCCTGGTTCTCATCCTCCGATTGAGGCTCGTGTGTCTGGGATTTGGTTGGAGCGAGATAAGAACGAACAACACGATGCGAAATTGCAGCAAGGCCACTAATTCCAGCAATAATTGC